CGGTCAGCCCTAGAGCTGGGACCTGCGGAGAAAGTATTCGAATTTAGGTGGGGGAGGGTGAAAAAAGGAAAACGTGAAAGTGTAAGAAGGGAGGCATCAGCAGTAGCATGTTTTCGCTTAACCGCCCTGCTGTATGCAGCAAGTAAGGTGACCCGGCTGATGTCACCACGCGACGGCCGATGTGGCATGAGTTTTTTTGTGTATGTGCAGTTCATGGTTGTACGTGGGCTGGGATACTGCCAGGGCGCCCACACACACTAGACAGGAGGGCGATTAGGGTCCCCATCCAAAGCCTTTGGCTCAAAAGCCTAACCCCAAGGCAGCGGTGTTCGGCTGGGAATGCAAGTACATTACCATTTTTTTACGGAACACGTCGCCATATATGTTCCAACCCCCAACCTGGAGGGCCAGGAGACTGTGTTCGTCGGACTTCTACCCATGGGCCAACCTGGTATGAGAGACTCTGTGAGCATCGTGCGGACATTCCCCAGTATAGCTCAATGGGTCGCCGAGGTACACAAACCGCCACACCACGGTAAGGTCCAGTCTCTTCGAGATTAGGTAGCATCTCGGCGAGATTGTGCGATGCGAGCCCTATGGCAAAAGTACCTGACAGTTGGGTTGTTAATGAGAAAGCCTACATCAGTTTCAAGCTTTAGGTGAATAAATATCAGATATTTTGAAAATCGTTGAGCTAAAGCACACTTCTCGGCGCCTAACTGCAATGCCACCAGAAGGAAGCACGAGGGCTGGCATACTGCAAGATTGACAAGCCTGGACAGGAGGAGTCGAGAAGAGGAGGTCGGGTTCGAAACACGGATGCTGCGGTTTGTAAATTCGCGCTCTAACCACTGAGCCGTCTCGTCCCTCAGTTATTTAGAATAATTTTGCCTTCTGCGTGCCCCAAATACATCATGAAGGCCTTGGATGGAAGGTTCGAGACTAGTCAGGTAGGCGTTTGTAATGTTCTGTCCTAATGTGGAACGGATACATCGATTAAATATGCACTGTAGTCAGTGCATTCGTTCTTGAGTACGAAAACTCCATACAGTATTGGTTAGTGACATAGCACTGTGAGCTTGAACCTGGAAAGCGACTGCAGCACCCATGCTGAGTGGAGGTGAGTGGATAAGTGCAGCTTAATGAACTGAGACAATAGCTAGCATATGCATAATATGTGACTTCAGAAACTCAATTTGGAGGGTTTGCCGTTTAGCGACAACTTTGCTTGTTTTTTCTTATGAAGCCTGTGACCCATCAAAACACTCGTCTCCGTACATTTTTGCT